ATATATATACACACTCCATTTTTGCGATTACCTTCACCTTAATCACCTCCATCACGCTTAATTATAATTATTTTTTACTAAAGCGATTCCGGTAACATTATATAATACTCTGTCTTCTCTTGCTTTATTCTCTTCAAAGCATAATTCATATGTGTATATTACGAATAGTAATTAATTTCTCAATGTTGTATATTTATGTATAATGTGCCGATTATACAAGACATCTATAAAGTCTGATCCACGCTTTATATCTCGGATTATGATATGGAAAAATATAATAATATGATATATTTCATATATCGAAAGTTGTAGGTGTCCCATTAACAAGGACATATGATGAAAATATGGACTTTGAGTGAAAACTAGGTCAACGTGACCGATGTGATTTTCATAAATGGAACTTCTTATTTTTTTATTGCACATTCTTGTAGCTCAACCCGAGAGCTTTTCAAAATATACAAAAAAATTCATTTTCATTAAGGACTTTTCGAGTTATGAGGATTGAGAGTTACAGTACCGCCATTATTATTATAGTATTACCCAAGATGTCCGAACAAAGACTAAAACCTCTTGTATGTTAGCTGGGTAGCACATAGAAAACTTAGAAAAACATTTAAAAGCAAACTACCGATATGTTTGAAAAGAAAAATATTTTATTTAAAAATATTTAAAAAATATTGATATCACCCTGTCAGTGTTAACATACGGAGCAGAAACTCTGACATTAACTAAGTCATCGGCAACTAAAAGTCATACAACGTAGAATGGAATGCTCAATGTTAGGAGTAACTATACGGGACAGAGTGAGAAATGATGATCTCAGACAAAGAATTAAAGTTAAAGATATTATAGAGTACATAACAAAATAAAAATGGAGATGGGCTGGACACGTAGCCAGAATGAAAGATGGACGATGGACGAAAAGGCTCTTGAAATGGAGATCGAGAATAGGCAAGCAAAGTGTAAGAAATCCATCAACTCGATGGACCGACTATCTGAAAAGAATAGCAACAAATTGAATTGGCACAGTGCAGGATAGGAAAAGATGACGAACATTAGAGGAGTCCTATGTCTATAAGACTGCCTATCAGTAGTGGACAAAACAAAAGGCTGGATGATGATGATTCTGGAAGTTTACATCTTCTTTCAAAATTTTTCATACAAGAGTAAATTCTAAAATATTTTGGAATTTCTCATCCCATAATTTTTAAAAAATATTTTTAAACTTTTTAGATTTAATAACATTTCATCAGAGATACTTACAAAAAAGCTTAGAAATTTTCGATATTTCATAATTAATATATATGTATAAAAGATTCTGAGAAAAGATGTTAATTTTCTGAGAAATGTTTTAATTTGTATAAAAAATGAAGAAAGTTATAAAATTATATAGAAATTCTGAAAAATTATATAAAAAATTCTGAGAAAAATTTTCACCAAGGTCTGTTATCAATTTTGTTAAAACTGCTACCCTGCATACAAAAGTTTGATTCAAATCGTCTCGTGTCACAATTCTGATTAAAGGATCTTTAGGTAATACTAATAATGGCGGTATTATAACTCTCTCAATCCTCATAATTCGAAAAGTTCTTAATGAAACTTTTTTTGTAATATTTTGAAAAGTTCTTGATGAGCTACAAGAATATGCAATAAAAAATAGTGGATTTGATTTATGAAAACACCAGTCACATTGACCTAATCTTGAGAAGATCATTCAAGTCCATATTTTCATCATACATTCTCCTTAATATCCTAAAATTCATGCTTTCGTATAAAACATTTTTTCATATCTATAACCGTTTCCGAGATATAAGGCCTAGATCAGACTTTATAGACATTCTGTACAAACGTTCGTGCCTATTTTCAAAGAAAGTTATTCTGCCATTGTGCAGCTGCTTTCGCGTTTTTTTTATTCGAAAGTAAATTAATTTCAGTTTCCTTGACAAATTTATTTTGTTAAAATAAGTGTAGAAATTAAAATCATATATTTCAATATTATAATCGTACATATGTGTATATAGCATTTATTTTATAAATTGATTGCAACTTTATTCTGACACGACAAGTATGAAAAATATTTCTTTTGCTATAATAAAAAATGCAAATCATCGCAAGTGATACAGAAATATGAAAAAGCAGATATGAACAAATTTTACAACTTGTTCAAAAATTACGTAAAACTCTCGTTATTAATAATATTTTGTTTGGAGTTGAATTTTTTATCGTTTAACTCACATATTCAATCATAATTACAATTCTATAGGATGCCGTCGGATTACTAAACGGACGTTACTGAATTATTACCTTTCATAATATAAATAGACTTTAATTATGAGACCCAAGCATGTATATACAACTTTTTAAATTTAGATTGTAATGATTATTGTCTTCATTCAACTTGAAACTGTGCGAAACTGTTTTTTCCCGAATGCAAATCTCATAATTAAAACGAATTCCAAATGTAATTAAAAAGATCAAAAAGCCTTCAAACGAAATAATTTTTTTTTTATCGAATATTGTATAGTGTTTTAATAAAATCATATTTGCGATATCGCAAACATATATTTATGCGAACATGATTAGGCGATGCAAAAATTCAGTTATTATCGTACCAACGCGGCTCAATGACATTACATTTAACCGGCGGTAGAGTAATTGGCATGGTAGGCGGTAGACATGGCGTCTATGAATAATAGTCCAACTAGGATACCACGTAGAAGGGGCACAAGGACATTCGAGAGTCGACTCCGGCTGGTTTTCTGCGGCCAAACAAACACAAGCCGAGAATCGCCTATAATGAAAAGTTTCCATTTTTTATTTATTCATTTCAAGAAATACATCAATTTGCTACTTATTCACATATTTTATCTCTCGTCAAAAGTGAAGAGACAAAACATAGAATGTATACTTCCCATTTCAAACATGCCATTTGCAGATTGAATGGAAATTGAATGGAAATATGGAAGTCACCTCTATTTATGCAAAATAAAAGTCGTAACAATTGCATTTAACATTCGACCTGTATTACGACGAATGACTGACGAAGTAACATGACGCGGACAGACGCCAGCTGGTGCGCTGAAGACTCCATCGCCGAAGTGAGTCCTTCTCTTTCGATAGTTGAAAACGCGACCTCGGCCCTGTAATGAGTGACAAGCGAATTTCTCTTCCCAATTTGTACAGACTGACCCAGTGAAAGTGCTGCCTGTGCTCTCCTGGAGGGAAATGCTTGTTACAGTTACCAGAGAGAAGTTGTCATCATCTCGCCGCGTTGTCGACTCCTCCAGTTTACTGTGAGAATGTTAATTCTTTAAAGACTAATCTTTCTACCTTTTAATATTTTTAGGAATAATGTAAGATGTCCCATAATGTAATTATTCAGGAGTAACATACATTTTAGTGTTTCGTTTGCAATATCGCTTGCAACGATACAATTGCACAAAACTGAGTCAATTGCGCATCTGCTTGTTACAAGAAAATTAGTTACAATGAAAATTTCTAAATCATTTGGTATGTAAATCAATAAGAAAAATCGTAACTTGTTCTCGTAAAACTTTTGAGAATGAGTAGAATGCTTAACTTTATACTTTGTGCTTATCTTTACTGCATAGATAGCTTCTAGTGATAAGATTTATAAGAAATCGTAGATATATTTATATTTACTATTTTTTATAAATGATAATTATATGTTTTAAGATATGTATAGAATTACAACTCTAAACATTGCGATTTTATTTAAAAATAATCCATTAAATTTATACTTCTGAATGAGCCGAGTGATAACATTGTGGCTCGTTTGGCCGTACGTGGCCTGCTCCAGATTTCAGATATCTCGATAATCTTTGTCCTCGGCTTTCACAATTACTAAACAATCAGTAAACATTTATATCATTCTGCATATCGTTAATAAAAATTGCCATAATACTTATTAACTGAAAGAAGTGAAGTTAGTTGATGAAAATGCCGGGAAATTTGCTGAGAGACTGAGAGTACGAATGTCAGAATTGTGTTTTGTTTTGCATATCCATTTCAATGTATATATACAAAGATTGATCCATATTTAATTCGTGATAAAAAATACATATTTTATATCATATTATGCATTATATGGCTTCTGCACACACAGAACGCGTCAACATTTGCCGCGCGATAGAAATTGTTGCAAGAGCCAATTTATCGCTTTTTCAATAAAATCGTAAAGGCCATTCTACATTGGTCGTATCGTAACGTCGAAAGCGTCGTAAGCATCATGCGACTTTAAAATTGAAGCATTGGATTGGCTGAAGCAACAAGCTTGCGACATCTACGATACGACCAATGAAGAATGGTCTTAAGACCGGTATAATGCCTGTTCTACAATAGCCGTAAGCGCAACTGTAAGGCCGGAATCAGACTATGCATTGAAGAATGAGATTGAAGATTGAAAGAATGATGTTTGACCAATCAGAACAAAAGGAGTCAAAATTTCTTTGTCCTCATTAGTGAAATTTCAATCTTTAATCTTTAATCTCAATCTTCAATGCATAGTCTGATTCCGGCCTAAGTGATTGTAATTGTAAGAATTGACCAATCACTGTCAAATATTCTCCTTACATTCGACTTGATTGGTTAATTCTTACAACTACAACCACTTATAATTACGCTTACGACTATTGTAAATGGGCTTTACATTTGTCATACGACAAAGATAAATTTTAAGTTCATTGATTGACTATAGAACAGAGAGATCCAATAATTTCTCTTTCTTACAGCCAATCAATAGGCTTGAAATGTGTTATCATACGATAAATATAATATTAGATTATAATTGTCTACTATGCTAACTTTGTTACGCGCGACAAGCGTTAGAGCTTGGCACATAAAAAAACTTAAGCAGTAAAACATAAACAGTAAGCGAATTGACCAATTACGATAGAATTCGTATGGTCATAATGTAACCAATCCAACATGATTTCCTTGACTGCTTATATCCTATTGCCTTAAGTTTTTTTCTGTGCTATTGCCTTTAGAGTGCTATTTCATTTGTGCGGTTTTATCATACGACAAATGTAGGACAGAGAGGTCCTCGGGTCTCTCTATCTCATAGCCAATAAACAGGCTTGAAAAATTTGTCGTATGATGACAAAAATGCACAAATGAAATATCACTTATTAGATAATAAAATACTTACTTTCGATTACATATTTTCGAGTACCATACTGATATTGTCAGCAAAAGTTATACATACAAATTTCACCTACCTATCCTCAAAACTCTTATCAATGCCGTTCTCCGGCAAAAGCAACTAGCTATTTCCATTCTTTTGCATTCTAATTCAAAAGTTTCAAGTAAAAAATACAGTCCCCGGACCGTCGACGTCCGTGCGACCAATTTCATCTTCATATATTTCAACTGTAATCACAGAATCATCAGAATGTCGACCAAAACCAGTAAGTAACCTTCAATTAACTGTTAATTTATCGTCTACTTTATTGCCAGAGATAAATAAATAATCTTATTCGAGGTTAAAAATTGACTTTAGTTGGATTCAATTTAATTAAAAATATTTCAATTAAAATTTTGATAATTATGCAGTATAAGGGGGACTACTCTCTAATGATCTTGATTTTGACATATGTTATTAAGATCATGACCCCGAGTGAACAAATTTTAGCCGTCGCTCGTTGTTCGTTAAAAGGTTGTTAACAAAAAAATTGTTCATTAAAAAAAATGTAGTTTTAAAGCAAAAAATTTGTGTTTGTAAAACAGACATTCCTAGAAAAAGAACTAAATATATTATCACATACAGCAGTTGACTGGACTAACTTTTACAGAGAGGCTAATTCATATAATTTAATAACTTGATAAAACTATAAAATGGGAAACAATCTGAATTGTTTATAAAGCAGAAAATGTGTGTTTTTGAAATAAAATATTTATATTTTTGAAACAGAAAACTTGTATACTTTAAAAATTCTCTACTTTAATAAATATTCAATTACAACAATCTAACTTCTCAGCTCATGAATCAGTGATTAACAAACAACCAAAGTCAAATTGGCGGAGAAGGAATTATTGTTGAAATCAAGGCAAAATTATATAAGAAATTATATAAGAAAAATTATATAAATAATTATAAGAAAATATTTTGCTCTGTTAAAGCAGGGAATTTGTTTCATTGGAGCACAGTCGTGTCCAAAAATTAGATTTTATTGATGAACTTTTTTATTAATAACTTTTTAAGGAACAACGAGCGACGGCTAAAATTTGTCCAAGATCACTCAGGGTCATGACCTTGATAACATATGTCAAGGTCAAGATCATTGCAGGGTAATCCCTTATACCGTATAATTAATAAAATTTTTTTTTGATAAAAAGAGACAATAAATTTCTTTTATGAAAGCGATTGAAATGCCATTGGCGAACATAACATCCGAGATTGAGGAACGTCGATGTGATCTGATTGACCGTCAGCGGCAGCTGAAGAACAAAGTCGTTACGATGGAACGTTCCATTCCGGCTGTGATGGCATATAACATGTGGAAAACCGAGCAAGATTATTGTGATGGGTCATACGACAAAGTACGAGAAATCATGAATATATTCGCACCACAGTCCGATCCTGCCGACAAACTCGTCGCCGAATTGAAGAGTGTGGTTCACAGCCTCCATCAGGAAATGGCACAGTTGCATGTACGACACGATTGACATTCGACGATAAGAATCCGGGTAAATCTTGCCAGTGTGCTTTTTTTTAACGAAAGAATAATGACCTGTGTTTTTAGCGCGTTATCAGTCGTTATGCTTTATGATTTAAGGAAGAATACTGAAGTACCATACGTCACAAAAATTCTTAAAGATACTATAATATTATTTTCTTGCTTGAATATGTAAATACAAATGAATAGAAAGATAGATATCAAACACGAATTTAAAAAATAAGATAATATAAATATTTATTAAGACATTTAATCTATATCGTGAAAGATTTAAGAATTTTTTTATAATAATAAATGGAACGTTTTGACTTTACTTATTGTTAGTTATCTTCAGTCATTAAAATAATAAGAGTAGTTACATAAAATTAAAAAGTTATTAACAAATTATTACAAAATAAAATTAAATATTAGAAAGAACATAGAAAAATAGTCAACAAAACCATATCAAAGGTTGGTCAATATACTATAATAGATAAAAAATATTAAAAATTAAAAATTAAGTCTTCTTTATGCAAAATGTGTCAAAGCTTTTTTTATTTAAAGATGAAGAAAAATCTTTCTACAAAATCTATTTACACAGAATTTTTTTCTCAAAAATTAAATAAGTTTTAGACATTTTGATTTCTTTTTCAGTGTAATACTTTTAATTTATTTATATTTATACATAAATATACTTCAAGATTTTTAATTATCAGATTCTTATTGATGACCATTAACTTTATAAAATTATCTCAAAAATACGTCCTTAAAATATAATTCAGTAATTGTGAGACACCCTGTATATATGAATGCTTTATTCAAGAATATATGTGTACGCCGACCTATTACATATAAAAAAAAGCATTTTTAATTGTCTTAGAGATATAGCAGACACTCTCTCTCTCTCAGATTCTGTGACTTCAGAGTTCCATATCTTTTGACTCGTTAATTTCCTGTAGATGATAAAATATTTATCGAAAATCATAAAAACTACACATATCTCAAAATGGAGCAACTTTTAAATTTGTTTCATATATTAAGTTGTTTTTTTATACAATCGTACATACACTTCATTTATTTTATAAAAATAGTTTTATGCTATCTCATAAAAATAGACTTTTTACATTTATTAAGAGGTTTATATTTACGAGAAAAAGGATAGAAAAAAGCATTATAAAGACACACTATTATCGACATTCAACAATTAAATACGATACATTAAAAATTGCACTGTAATGTACTAACGGAAGATCTAATGCGAACTTGGCGAATATTAACTTTAATTCTTTTTCTGGTGCATCATACGAGACTTGTCGCGATATTAATAAATACTATGATGGTCGTGTTATTATGTAGAATTCACAATCAATGTGAACGATATAATATGGTTTTCGTAATCCATATTGCGTTACAAACGCCTGACATTACATGATTCTGGATCGAGAAAATGTGTCCTCGCAAAATACAAAATTGATCAGTTGATTTACGCCTTTGATATATATTCGAATTTTTTAGTCATCTATCGCATAAATTTAATTCTTTAGAGAAAACATGTACTTGCAGATAATGCGTCGCATTACCATCCTTACTCCTCTGGATGTACAAACAATTTATTTTGATCTTTGTAATATATCGTTTTGCACTTTTCTCATTCGATGTTGCATCCGATTGTGCAACCAGTATTTATGTGTGATTATCGATGCAATGATGCAATTTTGATCTTTGCCTTTAGTATAATTTATAATTCCTACACATAATATGTACGTATTTACAGCAATAGATGACAATTAAAATAAGTGATTCTATATATACAGGGTGTTTCAGACCCGATGCACCACCTGCTAATGCCAAATTCTTGAAGTTACTTTGAGATGAAAATTCTATACCAAAATATCTTGGTTAAATACTCTTTTTTTTTTATATAATAACTATCAAAAATATTAAGAATATAGAAGAACAAATTAGAGTATAGATTCGAATATAGATATGTGTAATAAACATTTAAAGTTTTAATGTTCTGATAAATTGATATAAATTTAATTAAAAAACTTAACGTTACATTGTATTACATGACATCAGATATTATAAATTTGCAGAACAAAAACGCAGTGAAAAAGTCAGGTATATTTTGAATAGTCACTATTAAGTCATTAAACAATATAAAAGAAGACGCATTGAAATATTCTTATAAATATGTAATCTATATCTTACGTGAATTCGATGTAACATCATAGATGTAGGATGAAAACGAAATTGCTCGCAATTGGTTGAACGACCGGTTGGTAGAAAATTTTCATGATTATCTAAGTTATAATCATTTAGATGCAGATCTATAAGCAATTTCATTACTATATTAAAGTACTCTCCAATCTTCCAATCTTACATTCTTCCAATGATGTAGATAAAATGCGTGTCAAGTTGTTTGTATCAGTCATTATGATTATGAGGTCAATAAATATATGTAAAATTATTAAAACTATTAGTTACCAAGTTCAAGATTAAAATTGTACAAATATATAAAATTACTAGTCAAAAAATTAAAAATTAAGATGTATAAATTTATATAATGTGACAATCTGATACTGATTGATACCTACATGAAGTGTTAATTTTCTGGAAAATTAAAAAAAAAATCAATTTAAATAATTACGATATTTGTATTATGATATAAACTTGGATTGATGAAAATAAATCTACTTAAGAAGTTAGAGCACTTTCATAGCCTACCTAAAAATCGTAGATAAATTTGGAATTTTTTTGGCAGAACAATAAAGTAACAAAAAATTTTGTTTACAAATTTTTATAGTACAATTATTTAGGAATAAAATTATTATTTATATATATTTATATTAATTAATTAATTTATATTTATTTCTTTCTCGTTATAAATAATTAATATTCATTTGTTTCTTCATATTATGCTCTGAAGAATTAAATAACTGCTTATAAAAAAATTATCCATTTTGTAATTTTTTAAAACAACTATGTGTTTTCTTTACATCAACTGATTCATCTCATTATTCTGTTCATAAAGGTATTAAGGTACGATTATCAAAAAGTTAATAGTTTACGAATTATTTAACATTTTATGTCCATATGTGCCAGAATAAAACGTAAAATATCTTGTCAACTATTGGTTTTTTGATATTACTACCTTAATACTTTTATATGCAGAATAATTAAAGGAATATTATATTGTGTAAAAAAAATCATACAATTCTATTTTAAAAAGTGGAAATATCTTTATATCTTTTTGACGCCTCCACCTTAAAAAAAGCAACATGACCAAAATGTCTCCCTCGAAATCCTTCCACTTTCATTTAAAACATTTTTTATATCATTAAAAATAAACAAGATATTTCAGATGGTCGATTTGTAGATCACCCTGTATATATAATTCACATTAAATTATTTAAAGCATTAAAAACCCAGCTTCGAGGTTTTACATATATATATAGAGATTTTAATATTCTTACTTGTTGTGCATTCACCTTACGATCTTAATAAATCGTTTATTATATTTTTAAGTTTGAAATTTTTTTAATAAATGGGATAAATCTGCAGAAAAAAAGCTCTGTTTAACATTTTTGATAGAATAAGCTATTTTCGAGAAAAAAATAAATTAGAATTCGTAGACTGCAAATGAACAAAATCGTTTTATTTGATTATCAGTTACACTTTCAGCATTTGTTTTAGTGTTTAATTTTGCGCTTTTCAGTATTTATTGTAACTGATTATCCTTTAGGTCCACCCTTAATTGAATAAAAAGATAATGTATAGTTCCAAAAGATAAGCTTTCATGCCCATTAAACATATTATCAAGTTACATCAAAATAACTCGAATGATTTTTTAAATTTCTGGAAAAAATAAAATTTTTTTCCAATTTAACACTTGTATCTTTGAATTTGAACCGTTTCCGACAAATCATTACGAAGTTTCAGTCTTGAATTTGTGTAAACGATCACTCAAAATTTTAACATATACTTAAGATACACCATATATGTAGACTATTTCAAAAACATCATTTGCTCAAACAAAATATTCCAAGTCATGCAATTAATTCCAAGATGTGTATTCCAATAGATAATATTCCACTAGATATGAAAAAGTGAAACCGGTCTTCATCGCAATAATAATACAGGCTATTCTATCATTTTTTTATCCTTCTTAAGTATCTTTCTTAAAACTTTGCAAAAATATTTTTCAATGTGTATATTTTAAGAATGTGAATTTTTTTTAATTAAAACAAATTTTTTGTGAGTGGTTTCTCCCTTAAAAATCGAAAAATAAAGCAGTAAATATTACAGTAATAATTCGTGCGATAGGAACTCACATTTAATTTCCATTCATGCAGGATAAGATCATAGATGCGGATGTGAAACTGGAGGAAACTGGCATGGAATTGGAGTCCTTGGAACTAGCTAATAAAGAAATGGAAGAGAAATTGGCAGAATTACGCAATAAGATACAGAAACGCAATACACCTAGCCTACATTCCATTCATTCCGAAGATCTGATATGTCTGAAAAAAATTCGTCAATTCGCTGAAGAAGAATTGAAATTAAAAAATTACATCAGGGAGCTTGAAAGTAAAGAATTCATGTACAGGCGACAAATGAACAAGTTGCTGTCCTGTAAGAAATTTCAGTGTGACAGTGAAAAAATGGAATCGAAGGAAACTGATAAAAAGTTATTCAGTTTATTAGAAGATTACACACATAGTAAACATGTGACGAAGAAAAAATGTCAATTTGAAAATAAGAAACGAGTGAGTATTAGGAATAGACAATATTTATATACTTCCTGTTCTGTATATATATTTCCTACTTTTTAGAAGACTTGCTGCTCATGTGCAACGTCGGTAACGTTAACTGCTTACGAAAAGACATCGAAAAGACCATTGCAAGCCTGCGAAAAATTATGTCCACCGTTTTCATGCTGTGTTCCATTGGACCATCGCGCATCACGTACAACCGCGAGTAAATCGCGTGATTGTATTTGTTGCAAATCTTGCCGAGTTTCTTCAGCTGTACTCAAATCTGAATCTCTATGTTTAATAAAATCTTCTTGCGAGTCTTTATTTAGCGTCGCTTTGAAAACAGGCATGTTATAAACTGATGTATCGACTTATTTTCTTTCAAATTTTATTAAAAATATTTAATATAACAAAAAAATTTATTTTTTTTTACATAGAGTAAATCTATTTTGCATAATTAAATTAATATTCAGTTATAAATAATCACAAATTTTCAGATGTATCGCAATCATCCAAACAATTAACACAATCTTCAGTGCCGTGTGAACCCAATAAAACATGCAATGTGTGTACGATTCCTTCCGCATGCAAGCAAATTAATATTTGCAGATACGAATGCGAAGAAAAACGCAAGCATGAATTATGTAATTGCAATGTTAAATCCTTAGATGAGGCCTATCAATCTTCGGAAATGATGGAATCAGAAGTAGACAGCAACAGCGATGAGGAATTTTGCGAGTGTTGCTCCTGTGATTACGAAGATGATTTATTATAACAATATAATTAATGTCCGAACATTTACGAAATCAGTTAAATCAATCAACTTTAATGTTCTACATTAGATAGTACAAAAATTCCTTTATCTTATAATATGTACGTATATACAAGTATATATTTTGATATAATTAAATTTCGTACAAACGAATTGATATTTGAAAAACAATAACAATAATGTTTTTATTCTTAATATGTATAAAACTATTGTTATAAGTATATATGAGATATTTTTTTACAAATCGAATATCTAATACGGGGTAACATTTTTTATTCGCTTCACAATTTTTTTACGTATTTCCTATATAAAATAAGCTGACATGTATTTTGGCAATTTTTTGTATCTCAATATTTTTGAAAATACGAAAGATTTAAAGTTTTAAAAACTCGACGATGCACTTCTTAAAATCGCGATAATTTCTCTTCTATTCATCCTACAGAGTCTTGGGCTCATTTTCAAGATAAAAGAATTATCTTTATTTATTATACGTATGCATTATTATGGCTGTTACATTATGATTATTATAAACAATTAAAATATTTAATGTCGTTTTCTGCTCAAGGCACTAAAATAAAAATTTTAAAAAATATCATCGTATTCCTCGTTAAATTTTCTCAAATCATATTTTTTTAGAATGTTGTCATTTGATATTTCTGTGTGGAAGAAATTAATTATGTAGGAGAGGCCACCCAGATCGTCTTGACCTTGACATACGAGTATGTTGTTAAGATCATAACCCTGAGTGACATTTAGAATGTTTTTTTTTATATTGCATAATTACTAAAATTAATTTCTACGGTGTAGCGGAGGGCAGATGCTTAGTCCGTTGCATCGTTATCGTATTGTTCCCGTTAGTAAGTGTGCAAAACTAAAAAAAAAATTAAAAAATATAATAACTAATTATTATCTATAATATATATATATATAATTCGATAAAATAATAATCATAAAATTGTTAATAATATGATTGATTATTTTCGATAATAATATAGAATAATACTATGAAATAATAATATTTATAAAATGATAAAA